TTCGTCAAACACCTACCCATACTTTCACAATCGGCTGGCCTTAGTACATTACGCAGAACGTATTGACACAACTTTCGGCAAAGACCAACCTCTCTCAACGACACGTTTCGTTTAGGACTGACCTGTAAATAGACGTCATCACTTTCCATAGTGTGAGATTATAGCAGCTTGAAGGTGTGGGGGGGGGGGAGCAAAACAGGTACACAGAGAGACAGCGGAGCAACAACAAAAAGTACGATCCACTTTGTACGATCATGCCTCTGCATGATGCTTAAAGCTGTTGGTGAATTGACCACTTGCAATCGTTTACTGTCTTATTTCATAACATGCATAATATTTACATGTGTTTGTCAAAACAATTACCCTATTATGTGCTGGTCGTCTCGGGATGGAGGGAGGGCAGTAGCATGAAAGTGAAAAAAGAGCGCCACATATATACACAGGCGCGCGAAAGCGCACCACATAGGGAGGGAGAGCAAAAAAGAAGAAGAGAGGAAAATGGAGAGGGAGAAAGAGAGAGAGAGAGAGAGAGAGAGAGAGAGAGAGAGAGAGAGAGAGAGAGAGAGAGAACAACGGAGGAGCTGGAGAAAATCTCTTAACCTGTTACGATGTATACATATAATTTTGCGTCTCAGAAGCTGGTGAAGGCACATCGTGAATTTGCTCCCGTGCGGATGACTACTTTACATTGTAATAATAATTATTATGTCGCATCTTCCAATCAATGTAATATGGCGTCTTCTTTTGGAACATAATTTATCAACTGAAAGGTTTGCCTGCACGGGAATCAGATGCTTGCTTAATGGCGATTTTTGTATTAAAACACACTCAAATAAAATCACAACTGAAGCTTTTTACTCTATCCTAAATCCAAACAAATTAATAACAATGTTGGTTTTGTAGGTCAGTGTATTTCCAACATGTCATTCTTTCAATGACTTCAACGTTGAATGGGCAAACCTCTAATCGATAACACACTCCTTTCCTCGTATCCCCAAGTGAAGATGGTAGTATAATATTCAGGAATTGTAGATGTCTTTCATTAAATGATGTATGATCTTAACATTTCAGTTCTTCAAACGAAGGATTCTTTTTAGCGAAAATCATTGTAAGATAACTATTTGCCTACCTATATTGATTTTTGTACAATTCGATGAAGACTAAAGTGAGTTTTATTTGCTGCTGGTAAAGAGAAATACACCATGGCCTTATAATGATCAGTAGAGAAAAAAATGAAACATTAGACAAACATTAAATTGGACAGGAATGAAACAGAAAGTACAACATGTTCCAGGTGGCTGACATTATTATACTTATATATGTTCTACTCTGCTACCGACGCATTTTAAATCGTAATTGAATAGGACTGATTTGTGAATGAGTTACGATCTACCAACAGACAGACAGGGGTACTCTATGACAGGACTCCCCCATATGGGACTCGAACTCACATCTTCTGAGTTCAAGATAAGAGCAAAGAGCTCAACCATTATATCACAGATGTCGGCGATCTCAAAACTAATAAATGGAAGAGGTTTTACACCCTTTCGGGCCTGGATTCATCTTTAATAAATTACCATTAAACCAGACAGATCTGATTGGCGGGTTGCACTTTACTTTTACCTCGATTCTTCTTCTCCGCAGCCAATGTTTCAGTATCTGTGAGTGTAACAGACTTGGCGGGGAATGTTCAACGTTGTGGCCAGGTGACCCTTCAATTCAGTGACAATACTAATGTCAGCTGGTTAGTCATCAGTCTGTTTATTTGTTTGTTTGCTTGTCTGCATGTCTATATGTCTGTCTGTTGGACGGACTGTGTTTCTTTTTTTTTGGGGGGGGGGTAAATCTGGGCATCTACACATTGACGAATTGTGCTTGCCCTCGCCGACAAAAGTTCGATCTTCCTGGGTGGGTGCTTGACTCTGCGTCCCTTCGCCAATCCAGGGATGAACAGGATACAGTATTCTAAAAGAAACGCTGAAATATACGATGTAATAACGCGTGCAACTAAGTCCCAACGACCGCTACTAGATTGAATCTTCAGCCGGCAAAGGAACGACAACGAGAACAACAACAAAAACAACAAAAACAACAAAAACAGTAAGTTCAGCATAGTAAAATTCAAGTTCAGAGAAATAATGTAAACACTTAGATTACGATTCTACAGATAAAGAAAGAATGAGAACGTACAGAATCCATAAAATACAGGGTGATTAAAAAAGAAAACTAAGCAACTTTTTTTTTGAACAGCTCACACAAACTTTTGACTAGATTGTTGTGATTAGGAACAGATGTAATTAATCTGAAAGGAATTTGTTTGACATAAAATTCATATTAAAAACTTGCTGTCAAAAACGGAAATGGCTTTTATAAAAACCACCTATAAACGCAAAATGTACCGATTAAAATAATCTTGTAAGGAAAATCTGAAATGATTGATTTGTTTTTTCCCCTTCCTTTTCTTTTATAAATTATTTCTATCCTTGTAACATCTAAACAATATTTCTTTTCTCTTACAAAGTTTTAAAAAATATTTGTAAAATTCTCAAATTCCGAGAACCAGTCTTTCTTTGTAATCGAAACATCTTAACGCGTCGTTCGTAACATTCAGTAGTGGCCAAACTACCACCCAACCAAGAGTCCTCAAAGACAAACACATTGTACACTTAAGTATGGAGTTATTTCTAGAGACAATAGAGGGTAGTGTGAGGTTGACCAAATAAACAGCATTTGTGGAGTTAACGGATCCTGAAAAGTGAATATGAGCTTTGCCAAGGAACCAAATGTCATAGAGGAAATGTTCACGCTTTTCAATACGACGGAGGAATCATGAACACATTGCTATCCTCTGATCCATGTCAGCTTCCGGAACAGGACCTTTGAGACGTAGGAAAGTCCAAGGTGCAGACATTGTCTATGGACAGACATCTCATGGGGTCATCTACTGAATGTTGCACACTGGAGACTTTTAAAAGGATGCGAACAGTGTGTGTTTGACCTGAAGTGGTCATTTTGTTCTGATTCTCTACATGTCTTTACAGATGGACCATTTTCACCCTTAACATCTAAAGAGGCCATTCAGGACACTTTAACATTATTTCCACATCTTTTGCATAACTTAAGAAAGGAGTGGGTGGTGAAGAAATGTTCAATACGAAAAGCTTTCTGCTCTTTCCTAATCTTAACCATGATCTGAACAGGCAAAGGAAACTTGAGAAAAACTATCTGTTGGCCTTAGGGACTACTGTAGCTAGCAATATGGCCCCATCTTTGGAACTTTTAGGGGTAGGACTAATGCGAACTTGTCCGTCAAGCTACAAAAATGGGGACTTAGCTGAAAATGTGTTTGTTTTTTCTACGTGCTGCCTAGAGAAATATTATTCTGTGAATTTGTCTGATGCGGTGTTCACACATAGAGGAGTAATGAAGCCGAGTAAGGGCCTATGTCCACTGCGACGGACACCAAGCGACCCGATTCCGTCCGTCTCTCGGAAAGTCGGTAGTTGAAATGGATTTCCTAAGAAATCAGTGAAAAACCCGTTTAGCTGAGTCAACAGACACGATACGACACGACACGCCCCGACAAAAGACGTGTCGTTTGGAAAGCCGCTTGCTGCATTTTAGCCGGGCCGGGTTGTGAGTCATGAGCCATAGGCCCCGCCGGAGCCAAAATAAATTCTAACTTTGAGTTTGGATTTAAATGTTAATGTCATATTCATAATCAGCGCCTCAAAATTAGCAAAGTATACGCTTAAACCACCTGGTTTAAAAGCATATTACCAACTTTACTAATTTTCCTCAGCCTCAGAAATCGCTCTAGATTGTTATGCTAAAGGCACATGGGAAGCTAGTTATAATAAGAAAGTATTTGTCCAATCTGTTAGCTGTTAACTGCGAACCAACTTGATAATAAGATAACGTCTGTTAAAGCATAAACCAAAGATGTTTCCTCTTCGAATTCGCTAATACTAGTTCTTTGTGGCAATAGTGGTAGTCCCCCTTCATGCTCTTGGGAAAAATGAAGGCTACTTTCGTTTAATTCTTAAAGTCGGAAGTGTGTTTGATTTCTTTTACCACACCACACAAAAATGGGGCAGAACACCAGAGTATATATTTATATTTATTTATTTTTTAAAAATATATATATATATACTATATATATAGATTGATATTATATGTATATAATGTTATGTAAAAGTATGTATATAATTCTTGTGTCCCGTCGCTTTTTTTTAAAGAAAACCAAACACACTTCCTACCTAATAGACGAAAATTTAAGTATATATAGATAACGAAAGACGAACAAACACACATTATTATTATTCTTTAAAAGTACAATTGCCAGCAATGAGATAAAATCTGGATTTGAAACGTGTATAATTTAGTACTCTGTGCATGGGATGGGTTCCTATTTTTCAAGAATATGGTTAATTGTAATATGTAGGCTAAGCGGTTAACACTTCTTTTAACACTGTACGGTTGTGTGTTTGTGTGTGTAGTTCTCATTGTGTATGTGTGTATGTGTGTATGTGTCAGTGTGTATTTGTATGTGTTACCAAAACGTAGCGAGCAGAACATGAACGCTATGAGAACGCCATTTCTTCCTTCTTTACCATATTGCAGTCCTGCGGTAAAAGCATCATCAGTGGTGATAACTCTGTCAGCCCCTGGATACAGAACAGCCAAGCTGTGTAGTTTGACGGCATGGACTAAAGCGTTAGGTAACTGTTCGTTTATCTCTTAAGCTCCAACTTTACTACCACTGATATACGTATTTTATGTCAGAGACACAGGAAATGTCTGAAGAAAAAATCGCAAGAGAGATTTCCGACAAGCTGGGTCAACGTGTAAATCACCAAGCCCAGAACATCTCTGGCTTCAATTTCACTCAGCGTGTGGTTTACTTTAAATTTTTGGGTGCCTAGAAGTTATCTAGTAACTTTGTTTGTGACAGTCATGTCATATTGCTAGTAATACATAGTACATCTGGAGGGATGTTCCGCGTTTCTGCAAATTTCAGTGTTTTTTCCCTTTATTCATAATGGTTTTTGTTGGTGCTCTTTTGAGCGACCATTTTCTTCTGGCCACCTGGTATATGTAATATGTAATAGGTGTATTATATTATGTTATAATTTTATAATAATATAATAAAATAATAATAATAATAATAATAATAATAATAATATTAATAATAATAACGTAGTCTAAACAGCCGTATGCAGTGCTCACCATCGAACGCTCCGTATCCCGGACTCTAGCATGGAGATCATCAGGAGAGAATGCGTCGCTGTTTCGGGCTCTTCCTCTCTACAGCTTTTCTGACGCACCGAGCCCCCTCACCGATGTGAGGTCTCCATGTTAGTTCGACTGTTTTCCTCTGCTGCCAACTTTAGGATTCATTCCAGCTTGAGTCCTCTCGCTTCAACCAGATCCAATGACTGGCTTTCTCTGCTGTCTCCTGAAGGGAGTTTGTGAGTTCGTTGCTTTTCTTTGCAGTAAGTCCTGCCACTCTCATCCACTTACGGGCGCTTGTTGCTACAAAACCTCTGCATCCTACCTCTACCGGAAAATGGGTTGCCTTCCATCCTGCCTCCTCACATTGTAGGACGAGTGCCTCGTAACGGTTTTCTTTCCGCTCATGAGCGGCATAGATATTGTCCTCGTGGGGCACCGTGAGCTCTACCAAGTGTACCTCTTTGTCTTTTTCCTCCCATACCACAATATCTGGCTTTTTCGTAGTTGGAATGGGGAAGAATCTCTCAAAGCCTTTTAAGTCAGCAGCTACTTCCCATGTGCCTCCGCTCTGGTCTTTCATGGCTTCGTTCGCTTTCTTTCTTTTGGCAACCTTGCTTCCTTGCGGAACGAACGCAATCTTGGTGGGTCCATGCTTCTGTATCTTGGGGGCATATTTTCCTTCTTCCACCTGTTGTGTCGCCATTTTCGTGAGCACTTTCAACACCTCGTTGTGCCTCCAGGTGTATCTGTTAAGAGCTAGGTTGCAGTTTGACAAAATATGCTTCATGGTTCCTAGCTTACCGCATCTACACTTGTTGTCCTCCTGTACCTTCCATCTGACAAGGTTCACCGGTGAAGGCAGAACATCATAAGTAGACCGGAGAAGAAAGCTCAGCCTTGATGTATTCCACTTCCAGATGTCACTCCACCCGACTTTTCTTTCCACTACATGCTCTTCCCATCTGGTCATTTGTCCTTGCTGGCTACACTGGATGAGATGAATTTCTCGCCTCTCTGCCTCCATCTTTTGCATATGTCTTGTTGCAGCTTTTCTTCTGTCTCGCTGAGACATTTTCCTGAAAGGTCTAAAGTCGCCATTACCTAGCCCTAATCTGTCAGGTTGCGCTGGACCGACAATGTCCCCATGCTCCAATGCAGAGATGATCTCGTTAGCTGCAACTTCTGCCTTCCACTTTCTGGCTGTTTTGACATCTGGAGGTTTTCCACTGATCTCCTTATCCCTTGATTCTCTCAACATCAAAACGGTTCTAATCTTGCCTGCTTTGTAGATCTCCACGATTGACGTGGGAGGTAGTTGAAGCGCACCTCTATGTCTGTACAGGGATGACGTGTTAATGGTAAGGGTTAGCCCCAGCCACTTCCTGATGTAGCTGTTACACTTTCTTTCGATCATCTCAACTCTTGACAAAGCAACTTCATACATTGTCAGTGGCCACGCCAATCGAGGGTAGAGGGCAAACTGTAGACACCATATCTTGTGCTTTCCTGGAAGCTTTGTCTGGTCAATTGCTTTCAGCCCATTTTCAGCCTGCTTCATGATTTCCACGCCTTGACTCCTATCAGACAGAGTTCCTGAGTACCAACGACCCAAACTTTTCACGGGTTGTTCTTTTACTGTGGGCATTTGCTCCCCTGCAATTGTGAACTTCAGTTGCTTCTGTTTTCCTTTGTTAATAGTCAGGCTTCTAGACTTTTTAGTTTTAAACTTCATCCTGGCCCAGGTGATAAGCTTATCGAGCCGATTCAACACACTTTGCATTGTGTCTCCATCTCTTGTCAGTAGGGTCACATCATCCATAAAGGCTTTCTTTGGTGATCTCACCTTTGCTTCTTCTTCACAGCAATCTGCAGATCTCAGTAGCATCTCCATTACCAGGATGAACCAGATGACCGATATAGAGCAGCCAGCTGCAATCCCAATCTCTAGTCGGTGCCATTCCGTTGTGAAATTTGCGGTTGAGAATCGCGTCTGGAAGTTACTATAGTATTCTCTCATAATGTTTTGCACCTCTTGTGGGACGTAGAAATAATCCATTGCCTTCATCAGCAATTTATGGGGAACAGACCCGTAGGCATTCGCCAGATCCAACCACACTACGTTTAAACTTTCCTTGTTTTTCTTGGCCTCTTGGATTGTGTCCCAAATGGTGAAAGCATGCTCGATGCAGCCTGGGATCCCTGGTACCCCGGCTTTCTGTACCGTTTCATCCACATAGCCGTTACTTTGCAAATATGCTACAGTCCTCTTTGCAAGTATTCCCATAAAGATCTTGCACGTCACGTTGATGATTGAAATAGTTCTGAACTGTCCTATCTCCTTTGCATTCTGTTCTTTGGATAGATACACGCCCTCCGCTCTGCACCAATCTTTGACGATTTCTTTGTCTTTCCAAAGGCCTCTTAGCATCTCAAAGAGGGTGTGTCTCAGCGTGTCGCAATACTTGAACACCTTATAAGACACGCCATCTCCTCCAGGTGCACTTTTTGCTCTTGCTTTTTTTACGAACTCATCTACTTCTTTCTCTCTAATTGGTCCCAGGTAATATTTGACGACGGGGGCAGCTGGACGCTTCAGGCCTCTCATATAAGGAAGCGGTTCTTCTCTTCTTGAATCGCTGTACGTCTGCTTAACATAAGCATCGAGTTCCTCTTTCGTACATTCCAATTTACCACTCCGTGCCTCTGTGAACAGTTTTTTGGCTGCTTCATAAGGATTCTTCAGAAATTGTTCACGTTCCCTTTTTCTCTCTTTTCTCCTGGTACACCTTCTTTCGTGCCTCTGTAGGTCTCTGCTTTTTTTCTTAAGATCTTCAAACAAGATTCTTAGGCCTTCTATCTCTTCTGGTGGTGCGTACTTTTTCTGCGTTTGCAAGTCTCGTTTCTGTTTTCTTAGCTGTGCAAGTACTCTCTGCCTTCTACTCAATCCACTTTTCTTCTCCGTCTTTTTCCTTCCTTCACAAATACCAAACTCTTTTATTGCCGAGTCATAGATAATGGTCGCAAACGCACTCAATATTTCTTTAGCATCCCCTCTGTTAGAACTCTTTTTGACTTCTTTCAATCTCTTCTGGACTTCTTCTTCTAACGTCTTGTATTTTGCCTTCTCGTTAGCAGCAGGCCACAGTATTCTGGGTTTCCGTAACCCTGGTTCCGTTTGCTGTTCCATCTCTTGCTGAGACAGGGTGAAAGGAGAGTCGACTGAAGCACTAATCGCTCCGCTGTGGTTTTCATCCTGGGATGATTTGCTTCGCGTCTTACAATCTGACGATCTGCATTGTCTTCTCTTCTTCTAATAATAATAATAATAATAATAATAATAATAATAATAATATACTGCCTTTCTGTTAAAACTTGCATTATTTAAAAGCTACGACCAGACTTGAAGAAAATAACACTTACCAACACCCCCCCCCCAAAAAAAAATAAAACAAGAAAAAAAAAAAACAACAACAACCATTTCAAAAAAAACAATTAACTTGAATTAAATGTTCACTAAATTTTCTTTGAAGGACATACTTTTATATCGTTGTAAGTGAAGTTGTATGTTATGTGTTTCTTAACCAGTACGGTTGTGTGAGTGTGTATGTGTGTGTGTGTGTGTGTGTGTGTGTGTGTGTGTGTGTGTGTGTGAGTGTGTGTGTGTGTGTGTGTGTGTTTGCGCGCGGATGTATTCATGCACTTATGCGTTTTTGATCGTATTTCTGTGTGAGAGTGTGTGTGAGTGTGTGTGTGTGTGTGTGTGTGTGTGTGTGTGTGTGTGTGTGTGTGTGTGTGTGTGTGTGTGTGTGTGTGTGAATGTGTATGGGTGTCTATGTGTGGGTGTGTACGTCTATGTGTAAGTATTTCTCTAAGCACTCAAGTCCTGTATTGCTACGTGTTTTCAGAACCATTAACAACAACAGACCTCACCACATTACCAAATAAATGCGCACCTTCTGTTTTTGATGGATACGTCTCGGTATCTATCGACGCAGCGACAACATGGGAGGTGACCTCTGTAAGGCTGGGAATAGGTTTGGAATCAAATGGTGAGTAATTCATGAGAGATTGCTCCGGTACATGTGCTCCATCCAAATAGGAAAACAGAGAGACGTACAAAAAGAAGGACAAAGAAAGATCAATGGAGAGAGAGAAGGGGGGAGAGAGAGAGAGAGAGAGAGAGAGAGAGAGAGAGAGAGAGAGAGAGAGAGAGAGAGAGAGAGAGAGAGAGAGGGGGGGGGGCTCAAAGCAGAAACCTTATTACGAATCTTCAGTAATTTAGCAATTTACATCACACATCTCGTAAGGATAACTACCTGTTCATGAATTATTATGATAGAATGGATTCTTTCATGACTAGGTGGTTATAATGCTAATATTGCAAGAGAGAATGATATATTAGCTAAGACGTAATCTTGTTCTTTTAAGGACTTGTGTATGTAAATAATTACAATTATTATTCCTGCAACATCGGGTCACACACAAAAGGCATTGATTAAAACCAATATCTGATCTTATCTTGTTCTTTTCTTTCTTTGCAGTGTCGTCCATGGTCGACATGTCTGTACTCATTTCCGATAATAATGTAGACTCATTGAACCTGTCCCTGTGTGGCCTGTTGCCTGGTGTCCCTGTTGGTAATACAAAGGAGTTCACGATCACATGCGAGACAAATGCAATGTTTGGGTAAGACAAACCAAATGAAACTGGCTGTTTACGAAATTTGTAGAAACATGGGCGTCGGGAGTTCGAATTTTTCCTGGAAATTTTTCATTTTCAGTCCTCTCAACAACCCAAACATTTCCAGGCTGAAAATTGCATACACTATTTTGTGGATATTATATTAAAAGCCAAATGTAACAACAACTATCTATCTTCCCAAAAGAGTCCAACATTAACAACATGCAGGTTAACGAATCTAGGAAAAATAGGAAGGGAATTTTGGTCTGATAGAATATTGTTTTTATAAAAAATCCTCCCCAAATTGTAATTTTTTTTTATACTTCTATAATCTGCGTTTGAGTTTCATACTGAGAGATAATCATTGGTGCTCGGTGAAGCTCACCCAATTCTATCCCTTCTGAGAAGGAAAGTGTTGTTCAACCGTTCATGTGGTCTATGATTGTGTGTGAAGAGAGGGAGGGGGCATTCATTGTTCGGAATGATCCATTCTGTGTGCAGTTTGGCGTTAAATCAGCAGCCATGAAGACAATTAAATTATTGAACCATGTATGAGAAAGACAAACGAACCAGAAATCAGCAAAACTATAAAGCCAGACATCAAAAAGACCATCCAGCTGGCGTAGGAAAGAAAAACAGATGTAATAATAGCCACTCTGATCCCCCCCCCCCCCCCCCCCGGCCACTGTCGTTGTTAATTGTGATGCTGATGTAGCTGTTCTTGGTCTCTCTGGGTGCATAATATTTTTTCAGCAGCTCTAATTTATTCGTATACATCGTTTTCTCTACGCAATATTGTCTGTCTTCAGTTCCTTACCTGTGGGTAACACCATCTGGCTTACGTGGGTGCCAGGATCGAACACGACCTCCTTGCAGGCCACTCTGTGCACTCATTCCTTGACTGGGCGCATCGTTCAGGGTACGTATCTCCCACAGTGGCGGCATGTTCACGTGGGAGGAAGGTTGCTTGCTTCAGGGGTTATTATTTAACCAAAACATAGATTGACTAACAATTACAGACGAACATAGACAGACAGACAGAGAAACAGACAGAGAGACAGACAGACAGACAGACAGATAGATAGATAGATAGATAGATAGATAGATAGATAGATAGATAGATAGATAGATAGATAGATAGATAGACAGACAGATAGATAGATAGATAGATATATAGATAGATAGATAGATAGATAGATAGATAGATAGATAGATAGATAGATAGATAGATAGATAGATACATACATACATACATACATACATACATACATACATACATACATACATACATACATACATACATAGATACATAGATACATAGATACATAGCTAGATAGATAGATAGATAGATTCCTTATTGTTGTGTTTCTAGATCACTTTATCAGATTTAGAGTGCAGGAAAATACACGTTTTTGTTATACTGGTTACCTAAATTAGCATTATCAAGTGTCAGGATTACAAAAATAAACGTTGTAACTATTCTTTTTGTTAAAATAATTTACATTTAATAACGGAAGACAGTTGTTCAAAGCTGCTATTGGTCTATACATCCCCCCTCCTCCCCCTCCTCCCCCTCCCAGATCATTATGTATATCGAGTAATTTATCGTGTTTGATATGTACCAAAGTAGTTCAGTTTCACTTTCATTGCAATCTGGTGGTAGTGTTGGTGTTTCTCTACCTAGTTCTTCTTCATTCTATATTTTCTGTCCATGTTCAGGATTTTGGTCTTTAGTGATTTACATAGAGATATAATCCGTTAACGAATTACTTATTTATAAAGTATCTCATCGTTTCCTTTTCTAGCTCAACTGCCAAAGCGGCACTGATTATACAGAAACAGCATTAAACACAATTTTTAAAAAGAAAGATGCCTACCGCTCTCCGACGTAATTACTTTACTTTGCCCTTCCTCCTGTACCATCTACGGCGTCGAGGGGAGAAAGAGCTTTCGGTCTCTGGCAAGCTGTATGGCCTGGATAGGTGGGATGTTGTGGGTCTTCACACCCTCGTGCCTGATGTCCAACCCACCTAATCGTTTGCCTCTGAATGTAGTGGATAGCAAGTGTTGTTCCCACCATTGCTCTGAACCTGGTGTTTTTGATCATGTCCCATATGGTTTAGTTGAGGGCTTTCCTCAGATAACTCACCTCGCAAGTGGTTATCTTGCGTTCCAGATTTTTGGTCAAGATCTGCTTCCCAACTCCCTTCCAAAACAACAACGCCAGCACCACAACCTACCGCCACCCCAACCACCACCACCACCCCCACCACCTCTATCAGCAACAATAACAACAACAACAACAACAACAACAACAACAACAACAACAACAACAAAAACAAACAACCAAGCAACAACAAACAACAAACAAACAAAAGTGGTACACAACTTGGCTGGGATCTAACTGAGAAGGACGATTTAGAGTCCCCTTATCTCATACGACTTCACATCGTTTATGAAGGCGCTAAACCCAGACTACAGTATAGCCCAGCATGTCAACTTGCAGACTGCATTGTATCAAACTGTCTTCTTCAGCCCCACAGCCTCAGCCTCTAGAGATAATGGAAACAGCCACATCCAGCCTGGATGAATCCTGTACCCAGTATACCGTGACAAGTGGAGTCGGGCTCACTCTCATGTACCCCTTCGCTTGGACTAACGAGACTGAGGCAGTGGAACTGTTGTTGTCCATGGGCACTGTTGACAGAGCCTTGTGTGAGTAGATGAAGAAATGACATACACTTCTTTTTTTTCTGGTAACTGTTTTACGGCGCGCGCAACTGCATAAAGGCATATGAATACACGGGACACTCCTAACCAGGAGCGGTTTGTAAAGTGGGGAAGACCGGCGGTGCAGGTCAGATTTTTGTCAACTGAACTGTTGACTAGAGGTTTATTGCTGATGACGATTTTCATTCAGTTTTAAGTAAAT